GTGTGTGTGTGTGTGTGTGTGTGTGTGTGTGTGTGTGTGTGTTACCTCTCTGTTATCCAGATCAGCTTGGACTAGAATGCCTTGGAAACAGGGCTCCAAGTATCGAACATAGTCACTGTACTGAAGGAGCAAATTTCAGTTTCATTTATTGGGACTCGAGTCTCAAACTGCTTGTTTTTTTATTTATTTATTTTTGTGTGTGTATTTTGTGAAATTGTGTGTATACGTACAGCGATGATGTTAACAAAGTCATTTTCTCCCAGTGTGTCTAGGATGGTGTTAATTGTGTGTTTGGCTATGGTCAGTCTGAGGCCCTTCATGCTGCCACTGACATCCACTACGATGATCACGTCTTTAGGAGAAGTGGCTGCCTGTATGTACCTGAAAATACACARAGAGTTTATATTTAGAGAGCAGGACAGAGTATCTTTACCGTCAGGCATGAACAGAATATGACTTATTCTCCTGTAGGGCCAGACGAAGTGTCAGGCTTGATCCTTTTATTTGTTCCTCTGTTCTTCTGCTCCTGCTTCCCATCATCTCTTTATTATCGTCCCCAGACTTTCTAAGCTCATTAACATAAATGGGATTTCCCCTCAGCAGCTGTGATCAGAAGCCTTCAGGATCTTAACTGTTTAGCTTCTTAATTTCCACTTTCCAAGGCAACCAAGTGTGTCTGCCTGAGAACCACGCATGTTAGGATGTTGAATTACAACTTAAAGCATTTTGCACCGTGATAAACAACAACAGTAATAAAAAAAGGGGGGAAGCTGGACTAAAAATGCGATTAATGGAGCTGAACAGCTAGTCTGCCTCCGCTGCTGATTCAACGTGATCAATTCGTCAAGCTGTCGCTGATTAAGGSAGACGGGTGCCTGCTTGGGAAAACGATGTGCAGTGAAAATAAGAAAAACGTGTCCAGTGGAAGAATTAGTGGTGCCTAATGAGTGCTGATGTGAAGTAAAGGGGAATATAACCCAAATGTCACTAACAGGCACAAGAGCATTTCTGATCTCGTCAGATTATTAAGTAAATACGTACTTACCAGTTTCTGTTTCTGCAGTCAAAAGTGACCACGCCATTTTCATCTGGAATCCATTGAATTCCTGAAGAAAGTAATAAAGTTCAAGATTTTACACACAAGAATTCATCATCAGCCAAATTAGTTAAGTTAGGACAGGGGCAACAAAAGACTTTAAAGTATGTGGTATTATTAAGATTTAATTAAAACTTATTTTTAATAAGAAAAAACTGGAAAACCTTTTGTTTAATTAATTAAGAGAACTGGTTGAAAGAAGAACATTGCGGAGTTGTTGAAAAGAAATGCATAAAACTGCATTTAAAAATAGTTCAACAGTTTCAGAATAATGACTTTTTAGGYTTTAGACTACACTGCATGGCTTTAGGAACTCTTCCACAAATCACTGCATTCTGTTTTTAATTGTTTATATTTTACACAGATTTATGATTGGACCTGGGTAGAGCCTGAAGAAGCCCGTGGAGCTGCCAAAATACTGCCAGGTGAGAGTTGGATCTTTCTGAGAGTTCTCGATAAAAACATCATCCAGAGCCTCAGACATGTAGACCCCGTTCAGAATATCTGGATCTGTGAAAGTGGAGGAAGAGAAAACAAGAACTWTATATTTATTATTGAAATCAAGCTAATTCTACAGAAGGTTTTTTTTTTTTTTTACCTCGATTATAAACATTAGTGGGAACTTGTATGTTGCTTTGTTGGATGTTGACTGGCAGTTTGTTGAAATGTTCGTTTTTGTCCAGGGGGAATTCTCCACCGAGTGGAACTGGATTCCCCTCTTCATCCACAGTGTTGATCAGTAGGGAGTTATAATAATCGAACTAAAGAAAAAAAAATCAAATAATACGTTTTGTTGACACCGTTGCAGAGTTGCTGTAAGCTCCGTGTTATGTTCCGTACCTCTAGTGTTTCGTTGTACTCGTGGGAAAGATCTGCATCTTCTGCTGCTTCTGCGATCCTCTGTGATAAAACATAGTGTGATTATCATGCAAATTACACCGTCGCCTTTCTGAGATGTGCCATCGTTACCTTCACGGACTCCATTTTCCTCCCGAGCATCTCCTCCATTTCTGCTGCAAACTTCTTAACCAGGACTTCCCCGTTCATRTCCTCTATTTTGACTGAGCCTTCAACATCCTTGTATTTCTTCAAAAACAGACAGAAGGTCCTTATTTATCAAGACCTTAAATGATTACAACTTTTTAATATGTAATGTGAATGATGYAGTGTTTGCAACAGAASCAAAGCTAAATAAATATRRTATTAGRGGACCTGCATTACAGTGGGTATCTAGTTATTTGGAAGAAAGAAAACAATTTGTACAAATAAATAATGTAAGATCTGAGTTTTGTAAAATCTCATGTGGAGTGCCGCAGGGTTCCATTCTCGGGCCTTAGTTATTAATTTTGTATGTGAATGATTTGGTCAATGCGTCGGGACTTTTTGGGTGTGTCCTATTTGCTGATGATTTTGTTCCGGTAAAGATATAGAACAAATGTTGGAGATGATACAGACAGAATTTGTGAAAATGCAAAGTTGGTTTCAACTAAATAAATTATCAGTAAACTTGGACGAGACAAATTATATGATTTTCAGTAACAGTAAGAGAACTGTAGATGTTTAATTTAAAACTGATTATGTTGAGATCTGTAGAGTCAGTGAAGTGAAGTTTCTAGGTGTCATTGATGAAAAACTGACATGGAAAAATCATATAAACGGTTTAAGAACAAAAATAGCCAAATCTATTGGTGCCCTGTACAAAGTAAGAGAACTGTTCAATGACAAAGCACTGTTTATGTTGTATAACGCTTTAATTGTTCCACATTTAATTTACTGTATTGAAGTCTGGGGTAAAGCTTGCAAAATTATCAAAAATCCTTTTTTTATTTTACAGAAAAGAGCATTAAGAATTATTACTAGAAAAAAATTACAGCCATCCATTGAATATATTGTTTTATGACTTGAAATTATTAGAAATCTATGATTTGGTCGATTATAATATTTTGCTGTTAATGTACAGAGCTCATAAAGGTATGTTACCTTCCAACATTCAAGTAAATTTTGTTAAAAGAGAGAGCTGTGATTATCTTAAGGGATTCAAAATGTTTATGAAACCCTGGTTTCGTACGAGCGATCCACTTTAATCCAGGGAATACGTTTGTGGAACGGTCTGGAAGATGAGGTTAAAAAAACCAGATCCTTGTATTGAAACGAATGATAAAATCTGGTATTCTGAAGAAATATGGAGAAGTATAAGTGAATTCATGTAAATTGTTGTTTGAGTTGGTGTTATAAAATTTGTTTTTCATTTTTGTATGTTTTCAGTTGTTTTGATTTTTGTTGTAATTTACTTTTCTTTTGAACATATTTTGGGCATAAGAAAGGGGCAGATATTATAAGATTTACTCTTCTTCTGCTGCCTTTCATTTTATTTGATCTTATTTTGATTGCATTGTTTTTTGTTCTTTATTTTATGTTACAAATGAAAATATGAATAAATTTATAAATAAAAAATAAGCAAAGCAAATAGATCTTCATACAAAAAAAAAAGCCAGCACTCAATAAAGCGCGCAGATTACACAGGCGACAGGATCAAGTCACAAAACGTTCAGATAAACATTGATTAGACAGAGGTGGGTGATTAATGGCTTCTTGCTGCAAAKATTAAACTAATGAACTGAACACTTTTTAYACACCAGTGGCTTAATGAAAAGATAAGCTTTGCATCCAGGAGAATCAGGCTGTGTTTTATGTAAATAAAGCTGCTTTATTAATGTTAATGTTAACACAGCACCTCACAACATAGCATTCAGCATCACTACCTTTTATATCTAGTCAAAACATTTCATGTCCAACATAGGAGCACATTTTGGACTTTTTTTAATTTTATGAACCAAAGCTGTAAATGTTAAAAACAAAATATCTACAAATTATTAAATAAAAAAAATGGGACTACGTTGATGACACAATCTTCATGGGGCAGATGGTGAAAAGGCCTGCCAGGGATTCTAAAGGGTGGCATGTACTAATTACAAAAAGACACATCTGGATGGTATTTGGGTAACACCAGATTGGCCCAGATATTGTACAGCAAATATATGCCAGTCAGTGATGTTCTGATTGGATGATGTAAGAAAAAAAAAAAAAACGAAAAAAGAACCATCAAAATACATTTATCATTCTAGCACGTTTCTTTCAGAGTGGCATCCATGCAGCTGAGATGTTTTTATACWAAAATTATAGTTTGAATTATTTCATTTATAAATAAATGTAACTTTACTTTGAAACAATTAAAAATGAGTCCAGCTCACCTTCTTTGCACATGCATGTACAGAAATGACTAAAAACCAAGGAGTTTATATAGAACAGCTGGAGTGCTCAGAAACCATGTGACCGTGTGATCGGCTGGTGAAGCTAACGGCTAACRCAAAACGGTCAAGACTGGATTTCTCATTACTGTACATGTTGACAACAGAGCAGAAAAAAAGGACTGACGATGTAGAAATCATTGAAACTATTAATAATAATGTTAACGCAATTATTATTAATATTTTACAGTTCATATAATCTATCTAATGTTTTAAATAACGTCAGAAAAGCTGTTTGTGTWATGGATTTATTAACAGAAGATAAACAGGAAAATGTCTCATTTCACAACAAGTCAGCAGATTTGATCTTATTTAGCTCAATGTGATCTGAGCAGAACATAATGTAACAGTTTAAAATTAAATAATCTTATAAAGTCAATGTAATTACTGTTATTTATAGAAGTGGTTAGCAGATATTAGCTTGTGGAGCATACTGTATATACAGAGTTTAACACTGTTGAATCACGCTACAATTTAACACAAACTATTAAAT